AATGAGTAAATTAATGAATATGTAAATAAGTAAAAGATTAACACCCACCAGAAAAACTGGCGAATGATGCGAGCAGAGAGTCTACAGAAAAATACATGTAACTAACTTCCTTTTTTTTTTTTTTAAAGATGACCAGTGAGAGGATCTTAACCCTTGACTTGGTGTTGTCAGCACCACGCTCTCCCCAGTGAGCCACGGGCCGGCCCTATAACTAACTTTTTAATGTAGAAAATTGTATGCAATATCATTAAATAAAAGAATTGCAGACTGAAACTCTGAGACTCTATTATTTTAGTAGTGAATCAACAATTGAATTTTTTTTTTTTTGTCTTTTTTCGTGTCNGGGGCGCGCCGGCGTCCTCGGGCCCAGCCTCGTCCAGGATGTTGCAGGGCACGTAGCCGGCCTGGCCGCTGCGGTTTCGCAGTTTCCACCACTGCCGGCCGTCCTCCAGCACCTGCCGGGGGCGCCGTCAGGCCGCCACCGCCACGACCACCCACCCTCCAGCGACTGGCACCAGGCGAACCCCCTCTACAGACAGCCCGGAGAGCGCTTGGTTTCCCTGGAGCCCAGCCCACCCTCAGTCCTCCTGGCGCCCGGCCCCACCCTTCCATCCTAAGCCTGCCCCTGCACGGCCTTAGCGGGGTCCTGGAGCCTCTTAACCTGATTGTAGATGTAGACTACCCTCCTGCCACCCCCGACCTGCTCCACTTTCTGTCCCCCAGGTGGTGGCCTGGATTCAGGCTTGGCACAGAGACAACCGGTGTGTGGGGGCTCCTGAGGTGGGTGCGAGTGACAAGCCCCTGCCAGGTTCCACTGGAGGGTCCCCCACTTGGCACAGAGACTGCCCACCCCCCAGCCTGGGCCCAGTCGTCAGAGGGGTCCCTGCATCCCCTTGAGGATCCCCAAGACAGGGAGGCCCCTCAGCCAGGCTGTGCTGGGGGTTGGGGAGGCCCAGCCTATGGATCCAGATCAGAGCCCAGGGGTAAGGACCCTGGGGAAAGGGGCCAGCCAGCCCAGCAATGTTCTGGGGTCACACAGCTGGGCCTCCAGCCCACTGCCGCGACCTTCCATGGGCTGCCCCTCCTTTGAGGCCCTTCCCCTACTCCCCTCCCCTCGGCAGCCTTCTCCCCGGCCCCCCACTCACTTCTAGGACCTCATCCTTGAGCACTGACAGCTCGTTGGCATTGCGGGCTGTGAAGTCGTAGAGAATCTTGACATACTTGGCCATGGCTGGCGTTGGCTGGTAGCCCCTGCGTGGAACAGGAGGTGCTGAAGCTCAGGGCAGGCTGGGGTCTCCTCTTGGGCTGGGCAGGGACTGCGGGGCAGCAGCTTTCCAGGTTCACGGTTGCGTCCGTTCTGCTTTCGAGGTCGCAGCGGAGAGGCTGTGGCTCATCAGCCAGGAATGGGAACTGTGGCAGCCCCAGAGCGTTGGGGCCCCGTGCGGAGGTGGGGCGGGTGGGAGGCGGGCGGGGCGTGGGGCCTTTGGCACCACAAGGCTGGCCCCAGCCCAGGCCACCTCAGGGGTCACCAGCCCAGCTCCCCAGGTGAACTGGAGCCAGGTATGTGCCTGGACAGGGTCACGGCTTCCCCTAGCTGACCAAGGATGGCTGGGATTTTTCCAGAGCCACAGACTCTCTGGGTACTGAAGCAGCTCATGCATGTACAGTGGGGGACTGCCCACAAGCTCCTCTCTGTGGGGCTGGGCCCACACCCCGCAGGGACATGGGGGCCAGCTCTGGTTGGGAGGTCCTGGCTTCAGCAAGCAGCAGGCCTGTGGCTGCCACCCAGGCTGGAACATCTCTCCTGCTCAATCTGGCCCTGATCTTAGGGCTACTCTCTGTCCAGGAGCACTGGGGAGATGAGGGGGCAGGGGCCTGAGGCGGCTCCTGGAGCCTGGGCTGGGGGCTGTCAGGACTGGGCCGGGGTGCAGGCCAGGGACTGGAAGTCTGAGGGTGCGAAAGTGTCTTAATAGTTGTCTCAGGCGGGGATTGTGGGCGCCAGTGTGTATCTAAAATATGGACATCCAGCGCCTCCCCTCCCAACACCAAATGCTGGTGTCTAGCAGCGCAATGAACTCCCCAGGAAGATCCTGGGCCAGGAGTGAGAACGGAAGGAAGGAAGAGAGGCAAGGGAGGATGGGGACCCCCTAGTCCCCTGCGCTTGTGCCCTGTCCACTGTGGAAACGGCGTAGGGGGCAGGGCGGGGAGGCTGCACTGCCCAGACCCCTCTGCGGCTCTGTCAGAGGCTGGCCTAAGTCAGTCCCAACAGCCCCAACAGGTGGTGGCGTTTGACGAAACCGTTTACGCTGGGTGGTTTGATAAGTGTCTAACCTTCATTCTAAAACGTAAACGTGGAGGCCTGGAAAAAGCTGATGCATTAAGGTGGTGAGTTTCTGTGTGACTTTTGAAATTTTTCCTTCCATCATATACTAATATAAATGTAAAATGAAATTCTGCCTCTAATTTGGAAAGTGGTATTTTGAACCACTTGCACAAAGCCTTTCTGGTCACCACCTGGTGGCAGCATGCCTGCACTGGAGCATCTGTGCTTTGAAGGTGGGTGTCGCATTGTCACGTCGAGGGGCTCACCTGTGAGCATGTGGGGAGCTGACAGGTGCTCCAGCGTCCCCCGGGGCTGTGGGCTCAGAAGTGAGGCTGTGCTTTGGGGAGTGCCGAACAGTTGGTCGGCCCACTGGAGTCGGCTGTGGGGAAAGTGGGTTTGGGGCAGGGGCTGGGCAAAAGGGTGGGGACAGGTTGGGTCCCAGGACGAGGGAGCACAGGACAGGGGCCGTGGGGCTGCCTCAGCTGGCAGGGGTTGGGGGCAGCCTGAGCCGTGGCTGCAGGGGCAGCAAGGGTGGTGGGCAGAGGTGGGCTGGAGAGCCAGCGGGGTGGACGGGTGGATGGCCAGGCTGGGGTGGGAGCCAGGACTGCTGGTGCTCTGACCTGGTCACTGGGGGAGGATGCCAGCCCCTCCACCTCCCAGGGAGCCTCCTGCAGCACGTCCAGGGGTGGCTCCCAGCCGCTGTGGAACTTGGGCACGTAGAAGGGTACCTGTGGCTCCCGTGGCCACTCAGAGCTGGGTGGGGGAACACCTGTGGATCAGCTGTGCGCCCGCTCGCCAGAACTGCCCACCCAGGACCCCCATCCTGGTCCACGCCCTGTACCCCACGTCACTCTGCTCCTCCCTGCCCTGCCCTACCGGGGCCGTGTCCAGGTCTCCCCCAGCAACTCCCACAGTGACATCTCCTTGGGGACCAGGTGGCCACGCAGGAAGCTCACAGCATCACAGGAGAGCAGGGGGCTGGAGACGGAGCGCGCGATGTTTGGGCCACCGCAGGTGTTGATGATCTGGGGCACAGTGGGGTTCAGAGGGGGCCCCACCACCAGACCCCAGCCCACTGCCCAGCCACCTTCAGCTGGGCCACTGGCCCTTGGGACTCTGGTGCCCTGGGTGGGTGGACGCCCAGCATGGGGCAGGCTGCCCAAGATATGCACTGCTTCCCACCCGCGGACCCTGCAGCCCCCGCCCAACCCAGGCACCAGGTCCAGCGGCCCAAAGAGGAAGTGCAGGAGCTCAGCCGCGCTGGGATTCTGGATGTGCTTCTGCAGCTTCGCCTGTGGGGAGAGTGAGCAGACGGCAGGCGGACGGCAGGGGCGCCCCGCACCCACCGCCCTCGCCGCAGCACAGGCGGACGCACCAGCAGGTTGATGGCCAGCTTGGTTTTCTGGAAGCAGTCAACGAACTCGCTCTCCGACGGGGGCCGCGCCCGCAGCGTGAGCACTCCCTCTGGGGGAGGGACGGGGCAGCCCAGTGGGTCCTGCTGTCTGTCCCACGCCAGCCGCCACCTACCCGACCTTCCCCCAGCTCAGGGGCACCCGCCCGCCCGCCCTGCCGCACCTGCCGGCCCCTTCTTCCCCTTCTTCTTGCCCTTCTTCCGCTGGTTCAGCTGCTTGAAGGCCTCGGCCGCCTTCTGTAGCCTGGCCACGAACCACTCAATGTCGTCCAGGGCGCAGTTGAGAATTTGCTAGGGTCACAGGGGCAGGGGGGAGCCTCAGACACTCCACCTGCTGCAGGGACAGCCCCGCACCCAGGGGAGGGGCTGCCCGCCACGCCGGGTACCCACCGTCTCCTTCTCTATCTTCTGAGCCAGCACGGCCCGCGGCTCCTCGTCCTGTGACTCCCGACGGCGGTAGCCTGAGGGGCAGAGCAGCTGCGGACCAAGGCCACCCCACGGGCGTCGCGCGGAGTCCCCGCCCGGCCCTTCGGCCTACCTGGCTCTCCGAGTGGCGGGCCCACGCGATTCCTGGCCTGAGGGGAGTCCTCACCCTGGCTCTGGAAGGGGATGGGGGCTGGGCCCTGGGGAGGGGGCAGGATCGACAGCCGCTGCCGGATCTTCTCCTGGTGCCCCCTGGGGGGTGAGGACGGCTCTGCTCAGCCCGGCTGTGGCCCTGCTGCGGGGCTGACCCCTCTCCGCCCAGCCTGCGGCCCCCCATCCTGCCCTGGGACGTTACTCCCCCGACCCCCCGCACCGTACTTCAGGGTCTGCGGCCGCATCTTCTTGCCCAGCCGGCAGTCGGCCAGCGCGCTCTCGATGTCTTCGTGCACCAGCTCTGCCTGGGGGGACAGGGCGTCAGGCCAGAGGACAACTGCGCCCTGGATGACATCGCGTGGCTCGTGCCAGGCCCACCCCGGTGCCCCGCTCACCTCCACCTCGTCGCAGTGGAAGAAGTGGATGTCCGGCCTGCTCTGCTCTGCGTCCTGGCACACGAGCAGCAGCACCGATGGGTAGCGCAGCTGGTCGAGCACTGTCTGGCTGTGCTGCACCGTCGGCAGGGGGAAGTTCTCCAGCTCCTCCTGCACACAGGGCGGTCGGGCTCAGACACGGACGCCGGCTACAGCCACAGCATGGAACGCACCACAGATGTGGCTCCAAAAATGAGACACAAAGCCGTGGCCACGGGCGTGGCTTGTGGGCCCAGCATGTGGGGTTTGTACCACGGACACAGATGATACGTAACTCACAGACATGGAAAAGGGACCTGGCCCGGACATGGCCCAAAGACACAGACAGACACCAACAGGGAATGGCCACAGCTGTGGACATGCCTGGAGCACAGACCCCTTGGACACAGCTGGGCCATGGCTCCAGTACAGCTGGTGGACAAGTGCTCCTGACCAGGACATAGCCCTGGACACACCCTGGGCAGCAGCCAGCAGCCCCAGCAGTGTGGAGCAAAGCTGGCCTAGGCAGCCCACAGCTCCCCTGGAGTCTTGGCTCCGTCTGGCCCTCCCTGACCACCCTTTTCCTGTCCTCAGATGGAAAATGCCCACCCCTACAGAGAGGCCTGGTCGCACACCTGCGCCAAAGCAGAGGGCAGACGCTGCCTCCCCAGCCCACTCCCGCTCCAGGCCATACCTGAGACTCGATATCCAGCAGCCGCACGGACTGGTCATTCACCTGCAGCAACATCTCCTGGGTCCAGATCTTCTCCTTGGAGCTCAGCTGCACCAGCTTCCGGATGGCATCACCCACAGACCCAATGGCTTCGCTCTTGTCCATGATGAATGTGGCCAAGTGCTGGGGGAGCAGGTGGTCACTGCTGGGCAGAGCCTTCTCGTGTCAGGGGCCCAGGCCACAGCCTGGGTCCTGAGGGGGCCACTGTCCCATCTCAGGTGGGGGAGTCTCCATTCAGCCTTGGTGGAGGTCTATGGGGGACCATGGCCAAGCCTTGATAAAACCCTCAAAAAAAATTACAACTGCTTTGCAGCCTACACCCCTATCCCCACTGCACCCCATCTCCTGGCCACCACTGGCCTTTGTGCTCACTGTCCCTGGTCTTCCCCAGCTCTCTCTTCCTTCTGAGACACCGCCATCCCTGGCTGCCTGGCCCCCACATCCCTGACTCGCCCTGTTTTCATCTTTCATGATCCGCTTCGTGCTGTGTGTGATGCATTCTTAGTCTGTTGTCTGTTGTGCTCACTGCCTGGTGGCAGAAGTTCTGGCCACTGGGTTTGCAGCTGTCTCCCAGTGCCCAGGACAGTGCAGAGGACACAGCGGTCCCTCCGTGGACGTGTGCGAATGAGCGTTCGCGGGGATCCCTGGCCAGCCCAGCTCCCCCCGCCCTGTGCCTCTACCACTGGTCTCTCTCTCTCCAAGCCCAGCTCAGGCCCCTCCTCCAGCCAGGCTCTCCAGTGTCTGCCTCAGTCTTACAAACACCTGCTGATTCAGTAAACGACGCCGGGACATCTGGATAAACACCGACTTAAACTCCAGGACAGTCAAAGACTCAACTGTGACACACAAAACCATAAAACCACTAGAAGAAAATGCTGGACGATTCTGATAATCTTAGAAAGGCTTCTTCCACAGGGTGATTCTCCTACACAAGAAAGAAAATCCAGATGCTCAAAAGACCAATACATTTGACTTAACAAAAAAATTAAAAATTTATGCCTGAAAAAAAGTACCATATACAAAACAAACAAAAAACCAAGAAAGAGGGAAAAACATAGGTAATAGATACGATGGAGGACTAATATTCTTAATAGAGAAAAACACCAACATGTGTTACAATGATAGCACTCACTTTGCTAACAGTTTTGTCTTGTTAAATGTAATAATTAAGGACACCAAAAATAAATAAATGAGTAAATTAATGAATATGTAAATAAGTAAAAGATTAACACCCACCAGAAAAACTGGCAGATGATGCGAGCAGAGAGTCTACAGAAAAATACATGTAACTAACTTCCTTTTTTTTTTTTTAAAGATGACCAGTGAGGGGATCTTAACCCTTGACTTGGTGTTGTCAG